GTTTTCTTATTCTTGTTCCAGGAACTCAAAGAGGTGCACATTTCCCCATTTGCCATGGCTCCTGGGCAACTCGTCCTATCTCAGCTCTCTCCTAGAGCTTTATGGGGAGAGAGAGCTGGGGGCCTGACCCCACTGGTCATCAGAGCTTGGCAGCCAGCAGGGTCTGCCTCTGCCCAAGGACAGAGAAGGAAGCTGTCCACAGAACATGGTTCTTGCAGCCACCCAAAGTAGCGCATCACACTTTTACGCCCCATGCAGACTCACCAATGAGACGGCCAAGAGAGGCCAGTGATTCCTGTAGTCTATTCTAGAAAAACATGCCCAGTTCCTCGCCAGTCTCAGGGAAGCACTGATTGGCTTAGCCCATGTGGGGACAATCCTGGCTCCATCCCAGCCCCTCACCCCAGCAGACTTCACCAGTGGACCCACAGGGCTGCCAACTGTCTGTTTCAGGTAGACAGCTGGGGCATCGATTTGCACCTTCCTTCCATCTCCCTTGGACCAAGACTCAAATGACAACATGGCAGAGGTGGCTGGGACCCAGCCCTGGGGGAAGTGGGGAGCCCAGACATTACAGGGGGGCTGCTCCTTCAGGCCCGGTGTGGGGAGGGTGGTATTCCATCTGGCTCGTGCCCACCGACTCCCCCTGGCCACTACCAGCGTGGACTGACCAGCAGCAATCATCATCCAGGCGGGGCCCACAGAGATGGGACAAGCGCTGGCCAAGAGGCTGGGGGCAGCTTGAAACAAAACAGAAAGCACTAGTAAGGCGAGGTGTGGGGTGGGGCAGGAGATGGCCACGAGAACCAGTGCCTTGGGGCTGGAACCGTCCCTGCCCTGCTCTCCACAGCTGTCCCCCCACCATGCATACTGAGTTTGATTAGAGGAAGAAAGAATGCTCGTGTTCATAAAGTGACTGCTCTGCGTGAGTGATGGGCTGGGCCGTGCTGTGTCTTATGGTCACAGTGAACCTCTAAGGGGGGCATTTGTTTTCTCATTTGGCAGAAGTAAC